CCCCGGCGTCCCCGGAGCGCGCGAGGCCGACAGGCCCACTCCGCGGATCGAGGGCACGCGGGCGCTCCCTGCACCTGCCGCCGCCCCTGGCCTTGGGGTGAAGGCGCGGGCCCGGAGCCCGCGTTCCGGAGACCAGTTCGTGGAAAAGCTCTTTTGCAATCAGGCAGCAGCCGCGTTCTTGAAGACTTACAGCTGACGCCGCTTGGTTCTGATGAAAAATCAAGCGGAAGGCAAGGCTCTCACCTCCGATGTCTCAGGGCACCCGCAAGGCGCTGGGACGCAGGCCTAGACCTAGCCCAGCGCCCGCTGCCCGCCGAGGCCACTCGGCCCTCAGGTGAGGATGGCGTCTGCTCCTCAGGACTGAGTCGGGGTCACCGGGAAATAGCTGGCCATCCTGGCCTCCAGGGTGGGGCTCAAAGCCTGCTCTGTGCCCCACTTCGTTAGCTGCCCCGCCCCCACCGGCCGGACTCAGGGCGACTGCACGAGGGAAGGAAACGCTGCCCGGTCCGGCCTGGCCCTGCGACCGGCTGCAGACTGGGCTGATGTGACCCACGGGGTTTGAATGGCTGCTGTCTGACCAGGCCTTTCTTCCTCCTTCACTTCACTGTGGAAGTGCCAGTTAACCTGGTGGGCAGCACAGCCGCACGCAGGCCTCCCCGGCGGCCAGGCCAACTCCGAAAACTACCCCGGAGCCTCACGGGCCGGCCACCTGCTCCCTTTACGCAATGGCTCCCGGCCTGTCTCACCCGAGGGTCCCACTCACACTGGGAACTGCAGGGGCCAGGAGCCACCCCCTTGGGCTGTTAACGGGCAGACGGAGGGCAGGAGTGGGGTGTGTGTGGGGGGGTCTGAGGGTCATTTCTAGCTGGGCCTAAGAAATGAAAACGCCTCCGAAATCCGTCAGTGAACGCAAAGCCTTCCAATTCTTGCAACGCGTGGGAGTGGCACGCGCACGCGTAAACGAGGGCGTTTCCAGCAACTGACCCTGCCTTCAGGCTTTCAGGAGCCTGCGGCCCACCCACCGTCACCTCTGAAGAGTCAGGACGGACAGGAATAAATGCAGCGACAGTTTATAAATATATAACTCTATTTACTTTGAATATTAAATAGGTTTTAAATTACAAGCAATTTATTCAATCACACTATGCATCAATGTACAGTAAAAATCTTACAATTTAAAAATGTACACAATTTAAACTGAAAGTCTGTGAACCGGTGTGCTGCCGGCAGCCGCTAGGGGCTGTGGGAGAACGCAGGAGAGCCTGGGGGGTGACTGCTTCCTGGGGGGGCGACTGCTTGGTGGGCCTCGGCTGCAAACTGCAGACGGGCAGTGGTGGGTGTGACACCGGGCCCCACTGTGGTCTGCCTTTCCCTGCAGCCCCGGACTTCAAACAGCTGGTCCACGCCATTCTGCGCCATGGTGCCAGGCAGCTGGTAGTACACTGCTGTCCACACGGCCCTAGGACTTTATGTTCAGAGGGGCATCTTCCTTGATAACAGCCAAGCCTTGAACCAACTCCATCGCTACTTAGAGTTTCTGAGACATGGATCAGAAGCGGCTGTGTGGACCCATTCTCGCATTAAGGCTACTTCTCGTAAGGCTGATAGCTTCAAGCCTCCGTAGCTGACACAGAGCACGTGGAATGTAATGCATGATTCCTTTCTGCGTGTTCAAAGGGCCGGTCAAGCACTGTGAAAGCCGGAGGCATCCCATCCCCCCAGGCCCTCAGAACCCACACGCAATGGCTCATGAACCCTACAGAAACCCCCATGGGAAATAGGGGGAGGCTGTGAAAGGCATCTTAGGGCAGCACGACATACCAAGACTCTCTGTAGATAAACCCTTCTGTCCAAACAGTCTCTACACACAACGGTCGCTCGGTGTTGTGTTCAGAGCAGCTCAGCTTTCTAGCTGCAGGCGGACGGCCTCGGAACTGGACACAGCCTGTGCCGCTGGAGGTTCTGGGGGCACTTTTGATGCACTTCTGCCTCTGGCTTCATGACAGAAAAAACAAATTAGCATCCAGCCCAGGAGGAAAGGAAAGCCAGGGTATTCTGACTCCAGGACAGAAAGCACAGAAACTCCTCCAAAGGAAGATGAAGAAAGATCCGACAGATTTTGGACTTCCGCCCACAGGAGGCCAGGTAATGCCAACCTCACCCACAGCACACAGCAGAATGCCACGGACTTATTCTGCCGCATGACTGGTTAGACTGAGTTAAGTTTCGAAAACCCACTACCTGTAACCAATTTACTAGTTGAAAAATGGAATCAAAGAACCAAGCACATGCTGACATTTCCACAAGGGGCTGAAAGCTACTTAATTACATTGATGTCCTGTGTATTGCTTGAGATTTCAAAAGAACATGTTCACACACATGTGTTTTATTATACAAAATCTTCCCTGTCATGCAACACCACGTAAGATTTAATACACCAAAACCCTTCCCCAACTCATGTATAAAATGCATATTTGGCAATTAATCATGAGAGCAATAAAGACTTAAAAAAACCCCTAAACTTCCACTGAAGCTGAAGTTCAAGATAGTGGTTGATTTGGTTTAAAAATATAAATTAAAATGGGAATGATGTTCAATTCTTCTTACCCATGGGCAAACGCACAGCCCCAAAACCTCAGGACGTTTATCCCGGGCTGACCAGCTAAGAAGACAGTACTATCTATGGATTGGCTGGATTTTAATCAGGAACTCAGAATTCCCTAAGTCTGTAACCAAAACAAACAACCTAGTGTAACAATCGCCTGTCATTTCTTTCTCAACCAAGACTGGCAGGTAATTAATTAGATGGAAAAATTCCAGAAACTCAAGGCGTCTCTAGCAAGAAGTTGAGAATTTAAGACAAGATTGGCGAAGTCTCTGCTGGCTGCCGACGGGGTCTCTGGTATGCACGTCACCAGAGCCCACGGTCTCACAGCTCTGCCGGGTGGAGGCTGGAAGGGCCCTGTCTCTCCGGCAGATTCTTGCTCTGGTGTATTGCTCGTGTAAAAAGTCAGTGGAACGCGCCCACAGCTCATCACGAAGGTCATGCAGGTCATGCTTCACCACAAAACCGTGAGCCAAAGCAAACCTCTGTGTCCGGGACCAGGGCCCGGGCTCTCTCACCGTGCAGTGCCAGGAGTCACGCAGGAGCCAGGACGGCAGACCACCCTTGAGGGGAAGGGCTGGTGTGCAGTGCGGCAGACTCGAGGACTCAGCTGGTACACAGAGCTGCCCCGCAGACCTCGGGAAAGCACAACGCAGGCCGGAAGCAGCCAGGGAGCCTTGGGTCACCAACCCTGACTCTTGCCAGAGTCACGAGGCCGTACTGGAGATGCACCAGCCCCTTTCACATCAAGAGGAAAACTCAGTGCTGGATACAGAAGGGAATGGTCCACGTGAGGGAGCTGGGTCCAGCGGCAAGGGGCACCCCAGGAGCCGCAGACCCCCACGTGCCCCGGCCAGGGGGCTCACTGGCCGCCAAGGCTGTGTCCTTGTCTTCTGCAGGATATGGTGTTTCCCAGATTAAAACGGGACTCGCCTCACCTGGATGTACTTGGAGTGGTTACAAGGGTGAAAGTCAGTTCTGGGGATTACAGAAAAGTTCAAGTCAACACCAAGTTCAAGTCAACACCACCTGGAGGGCCAAAGAGAACGAGTTCACACGTCAACACCCGGGCTTGGGAGAAGCTTCTTCCTCGGAGGGGTTACAAGCATTACCGGAACGTTCACAAGAACGCTGAAGCCACACAGGCACCTGAGCTCCAGGGACAAAGGCCCAGATCCATCTTCAGTGAGGGAAACCCTTGCTTGGCCCCCCAAGTTACAGGCACACTGCTGTCCGTTTTCACGAAAACAGTTTTTAAAAATGGGGGGCTGAGGTGGAAGGACCCATGGAGAGGTGTTCATGTGCTGCAGGAAGCCACCTCGCAGAGGAGAATGGAAACGCGGTTGATTCAATCAACAAAAAGGAGCAGTTTTCTGACTTATGAAAAATATTTCCTATAAGGACGTAAGACACTAACATTCAGAACTGCTTCCCGTTCGTGAAGGAGCACCACACGTGTGCTCCCAGCGACACTACAGACAGTGAACACTCAGGGTATCTAAGCTTTGCAAGTACCATGCAGGGCAAACAGAGAGCAAAACAGGAAAATCAGACCAGTGGGCGGCACCAGCTTGACCTGCCTTAATTTCCTTGATAACATAAGGTTCTGTACAACCAGGGGCCTCAGGACAGCCGTCCACAGTGCAGTAACAGAAAACAGAGTAACGCCATCAGACACAAGTGCGGCCCACACCACCTGCCCCCACACGTGCATCCTCAGTGGGGTGAGGAACGCTGTGTGCACAGCACGGGACACACAGCGTGGGGAGGACACCACCCGCCGTGCTCAGTTCTGTGCACACAGAGCCGCACAGGGCGTCGGTGCTGATGGCAACGTGCGCGCTCCTGTGTGGGAGCCACCGCAGGCGTGGCCACGGGCGCCAGCACGCTGCCTGGGCTCCCTGCCATGCCCCGCTCCTCCTGGGCCCGCAGTGCGCGCTGTGCTGCCCAGGCCTCTTTCCACTGCCTGGTCCTTTCTCGCAGCCTCATCTCAGCGGAAATGGAGTGGACATCTGGGCTCGGGCTGACGGCGCAGGGACGCGGCTCTAAGGGTAAGGCCTTGGCCCGAGGGGGGCGTCGGCACCCACTTAATCTTTCTCTCCATCTTCACTGCTTCCTGTTCAGAAGAAAGCAAGCACATGTGTGAGCTTGACAAGGGTTCTTTAAAACAATAGTCATGGACAACAGCAGCTTGGGTAATTAATAGCCCGCTGTGGAGGAAAGAAAGCAGCCGGTGTGTGGTATCTAACACCTGCCCAAAGTGTACTTTTTCTGCCTTCAAAAGTAGCACCTGCCAGACACACCTATGCACACATGTTTTCACTCACACGTTCATGCCCTGTCAGCGCTCAGGCCCTGAGGAACTCAAGGCTGGCCTCTAAACTGCGGCCTCTCTGACTGATGAAGGGGTAATGGGCATTATCTAATCTATGCAAATAAAATACAGTCCAGACACAAATGCGGGCTCTCTGGAGTTCACGTTTATCACCTGACCCACACACTGCAAAGTAAAAAGGGCACCTATTAATGCTTATCTTCCAGTCTAGTTGCAGGGATAAAAAGGGTCTGTGAGCTCAGATAATGACTTCAAATGCACCCCCGCCCGTTAATGCCACCCAGCGCCTGCAGGGATATCCCGGAGACCAAGACTAATGGCAAAACCAACATGGAAGCAGAGGCTGCCTGGGCCCCACCGAGAATTCCAGGCCAGCGCTCCTGCAAGCAAGACCTTTCTCGAAGAGCTGCTTCTGTTTGGGAGGAGCCGCAGAAGCAGAGGCGGGCTGGGGAGAACAGGGGAGCAAGGAGGGACATGGGGCAGCTGGGGTGGTTTCCAGTCACCCACATGCGTGCCCCGGCCCCAGCTGCCCAGCAGTGCAGGGCCCCACCATCGCCGTCCACCATGGTAATAAGCCTCGGTGTGCCTGAGGCCTTGAAGTGGAGGGTGTCCTGGGAGGATCGTGGGAGACAGCGGGTGTTCTAGAGGACACATGAGAACACTCAGCTGACAGCAAGCCATGTGTGGTCAGCACGCACCCTCCCTGGGCTGAGACCACCCAATACATACGCCCTCACCTCCTTGTTCCATGTCCGAGTCCGTGAGGTGAGTGAGGGAAAAGCTTGCAATGCTGGCGGGGGAGATGGAGAACCTGGAATAGGGCGCTGTGTGGGGCCAGCTCTGCTCAGAACTCCGAGGTGGTGGAGGAGGGGAGAAGTACTTGGACGTCTGCAGAGAAGGCTTGGAACCAAGAAGGTTACTTGCTGTCTTGGACGTAAACGGGTCCAGGGAGAAGTCGTCATCCCATTCAAAACCTCCACCTGAAATGGATAAATACAAAGAAATCCTCTCTTCATTTCTTGGCTGGTGCACACGTGTTCCCTGCACGTTGGTGCTCACTGGGCAGGCAGTGCCATGTCCAAAGAGCAGGCGTGTCCCCCGCTGCCCCAGGCCTTGCAGAGCAAGAGGCCGAGTGGCCCTCAGTCAGCTGCCACCATTCACAGAGCACCCATTCCCAGTTTCTTTTGAAACTTGCCAGGGAGGTCAAGTACCTTCTTCGTCGGTTGAGCTTTCTGAGTTGATGCACCTGCTCAGGTGGGGGGAGCCTGAGGCAGGCGCTGGGCTGCTCGGGTCAGGGCCGTGCACTGCTCTGCCGCTGGGCCCCAGCTCCTTGGTCGGGGTCTCCTGAAAGCCAAACAGAAACTCCGTCAGCAAACTTCTGCTTGCAGGAAGCACTGAGGACTTACCGCCCAGCCTGGCAGTGCCCTGACTGCCCAGCAATGAGGGGCAGTGGTAACACACAGTGGGTTCCAGGCCGGCGTCAGGCAGAGGGAGAACACGCCCTGTCACCAGAGGGCAGCTGTGCACTGGGCAGATGCAGGAAGCAACTCTCCGAGGACTCCGACAGGGGAGCATGTGGGAGGTGCGGGGAGCATGTGGGAGGGTGCGGGGAGCGTGTGGCAGGTGCGGGGGTGTGTGTGAGAGGGTGCAGGGGGTGTGTGGGAGGTGCGGGGAGCATGTGGGAGGGTGCGGGGGGCGTGCAGCAGATGCAGGGAGCGTGTGGCAGGTGCAGGAGGGTGCGGGGAGCGTGTGGGAGGTGCGGGGGGCGTGTGGGAGGTGCGGGGGGCGTGCTGCAGGCTGCGGAAACTGCAGCCCTACATCTCTGGCTAGAGAACCAAGTAGGGGAGGCCCAAGGGATTTGAAAGCACGAGGGATGCTGCCAGAGGGCAAAGCTCAGGACCACGGCCCCAGAAGGCTGTTACACCAGACCCTCAACCGCACGCACACCAAACTGTGAGAAGTGAACTACCGGTGGGCCACTGTCCAAGTTCCAGGCATGGGACAGAATCAAAAAGCACAGCAAAGGCCTTGCAAATGGACAGATGTCAAGACCATAACCCGCAGAGGGCTGGCTGAACCTGGGCCTGAATGTGCCTGGGACCACGCCTGCAAAGGAGGACATCAGCACTCTCTCCCCAGGACCGAGACGACGCAGAGCTGCCCGACGCAACAGGACACACACGGAAATCACTCAGCAGGCAAAGAATCGGGGGGCCTCAGCTCACACAGGAAAGCCAGTCAGCAGACACGGGCGCCAGGTGACCCAGTATCAGAACCATCTGCATCTATGTAAATAAATAAAACGTTCCTACCAGCAAGGACAAACAGCCTCGAAGTAAACGGGAACACGGGAGTCTCAGAATAGACAACAAGAGTAATACAGGAAAAAAGAAAAGCTACAAGAACCGAGGTACAATAACCTCACGAGGCAGGTCCAACAACATGACAAAGATGATCAAGGAAAGACTCGGTGAATGTGAGGACGGACGGACAGCAAGTTTTCAGCCTGATCGTTAACAAAGAGAGCAGAGATCAGGGTGGTGGTAGGGAACAGAGCCTCAGAGTCTGGGAGACACTACCAAAAGGTCCAACACTGGAGTTCCAGAAGGGAGGAGATGGTGTAGAAAAAGTAGAGAGTGTAGCTGAAGAAACAACGACTGAAAACCTCTGGAATTTGGTGAAAGAATAAAGGGACAGATTCCAGCTCAGTGAATTTAGATTCAGATAAACACAAAGAAATCCACACCTAGGCACATGTCAGGCAAAGTGCTGCCAACGGAAATGACCAAAAACCAGCTGCTGCCAAGCCAACTCCAACTCCTGGTGACACCGTGTGCTCTGTACGGCTTTCAGCAGCTGACTTTTTTCTTTTCTTTTTTTTTAAATTGTGATTTGGGTGAAAGTTTACAGAGCAAATTCACTTTCCATACAGCAGTTCACATACACTTTGTCTGATGACATGGACTGTAGTTTCCCACAGTGCAATAAACAGCTCCCTCCCACTTCCTCCCCATGGTTACCTCTTCCCTGTGTCCTTCCCTCCCATGCACTCCTGCCCCCTGAGCTGTCTCCCTGTGCATACACATCCCTTCTATTCTCCCATGATTGATCCCTCCAAGGAGTGTCCCTACGTAGTATAAATGTTCAGCTCATAAGCCTGTCTTCTGTTTGGCTGGAAGCCACAGGAATGGGTTCAGTTCCAGACCTGAAGGGCAGCTAGGGGCTACAGTCTCAGGGGTTCTACCAGGCTCTGTCAGACAAGCAAACCTGGCCCCCTTTTTCCACCCCCCAAACAATTTTGAGTTTTGCTCCACCAGCAGCTGACTTTCAGAGGGAGACGGCCGGGCCTTTTTCTGAGGGACGGTAGGCAGACGTGGACGTCTGACCTTCCGCTGGCGCCAAGCACATTAACTGAGTGCAGGTAGGACCCCTCGGCATCCTACATCCAAAGATTAGTAACTATAGTAAGTGCAAATGGATCTAAATGAAAAGACAGAGGTTTTCAGGATGGATTTAAAAAAAACATTACCAACTATATGCTATCTACAAGAAACTCAAATCATATATAACAGAAGAGATAGAGTAAAAATGTAAGGGTAAAAAAAGATACACCATGCAATGCTAATTAAAAGAAACCTGGAGGAGCTCCATGAACATCACACAAAGGCATGAAGACATTACACACTGCTCAAAGGTAATTCACTAAGCAGATCAGCCTCAATTACACCTGAAACAGATAAAACACATGGACAAAGAAACAAGAATACAGAAGCAACAATGCAAAAACAACAGTATAACAGTACAATACAAGAGTACAGAGCCACAGTATTACCCCACAAGACCTACCCGGCACAGTTGACCACCAACAGCACAGTACACATTGTGTTAGTCACCAAGACAGACCATATCCTGAATCATAAGGAAACTGTAACAATTTTAAAAGAATTGAAATCATACAAAACATGTCCTATGACCAAAATGGAATTAAACCAGAAATCAGTGCAGACGTGCTTCAGAGATACTGTGGGCTTGGTCCCAGACCACCAAAATAAAGCAAGTATTTCAGTGAAGTGGAAAAAAAAAAAAAAAAAATCCAACTCACAGTGACCCCTCCTTGGGTTTCTGAGGCAGTATCTCTATGGAAGTAAATTGCCCACTCTTCCTTCCGAGGAGTGGCTGGTGGGGTCAGCCTTCTGGTTAGCAGTCAAATGCCGTAGGCACTATGCCACCAGAAGTGAGTCACACGTATTTTTGATTTCCCAGGACACATGAGAGTTATGTTTATACTCTGCTGTAGTCTATAAAGTGTGCAGCTGCATGATGGGAGAGCATGCAATACTGTGAGTGAGCAAACGCGACACAGAGTGAGCACCTGCGGCTGGGAGCACGGCACCGAGACCTGCTCGACGCAGGCTGCTGCCCCCTTCAGTCTGTTCAACTCGGCAGCATCTGCAGAGCACGGTGAAACCAGGCGCCTGCAACAGGAAAATGACAAGAAAGTGCCCGCCCTTCGCAATGAAACAACATCTAAAAGACCCACGGAACACAGAGGAGGCCTCACAGAAACTTAGAAAGTATTAGGAGCTGGAAGAACACGAAAACACAACACATTAAAATTTGTGGAAGTAGCCAAAGCAGTATAGGAAAGGGAGCCCAGGGCATTAAATGGCAACACCAGAGAAGGACCCAAAGCCTAAGCTTCCACCTCAAGAATCTAGCAAAGGAAGAGCCATGTCAACCCAAAGTGAGCAGAGGGAAGAAAACCATAAATCAAACTTGAAAAGAGAAAAATAATTTTAAACATCCATGAAACCAAAATAGATTCTTTGAAAAGATCAATAAAACTGATAAACCTCTAGCAGATCTGACAGAGAGAAGAAAGAGGGAGAGTGGAAATGACCAGTGTCAGGAATCAGAGGGGTCACTGCAGGTCCCAGAGACAGCACAGGCACAGAAGCCTGACAGCGGATATGAGACAGACAAATCCTCAGAACCACACGTGGTCAACACTCACCAAGATGAAACACACAATCCGAGTAACCCTATCACTATGGACAGAAAGGAAGCTCAGAACCGTACACCTCTGTAGAAGACATCCCCAGTTCAGATGCTACCACTGGCAAATCCCACCAAACACTTAAGGAAGATGAAATCAACCATGCAGCCGATCGACAGAATCTCCTCCAGGAACACTTGTTGTTAGGTGCCGTCGAGAAGGAAATACTTCCCTACTCATTTTATGAGGCCAGCATCCCCCTGGTACCAAAAGCAGACAAGGACAATACCCCTAAACACACACCGCAGACCAGCACACCTCATGCACACAGACACGGCAGTCCTCAGCCATCTCTCAGCAGCTTCAACTCAGAACCCAGAGAAAGAATACAACTCCTCAGCCACGTGCGCCTGACGCCAGGAAGGCAGGCTGGTGCCGCAGGTGAAAAGCAGTGTCACCCAGAGGAAAAACTGCGACGGTCATAAAATTCAGCATCCATTCAACAACAAACTAAGAACAAAAGGTTAAACAAATTGTGGTAATATGCCCTCAGTTCTTAAGAGAGAATCTCTAAACAATTTTGAAATTTAAGTGTCTTTGCTACTCCAGTCACAACCTAACAAACAGGCCAGGAAGATCACCTGGTAGTCTGTTACCAGTTGACATCGGGGAGGGAAGGGGCATGATTCAGTCAGTCATGGCCACGGAGGCTCCACAGGCTTCCGGGTTGGTGAATAACATGCACACCCATGGGTGGGCAGGGTGCCGTCTGGGACGCAGACACCGCATCAGGAACCCTCTCAGACCTCGTCCAATGCATCTTCACCTGTAGCCTCTTCTGCTACACCAACAAAACCCCAAACTCCCTGCCAGTGAGTCGATTCGGACTCACAGCAACCCTCTTTGGGTTCCCGAGGCAGTGAATCTTTATGGAAGTAGTCTTCCTTCCGCAGAGTGGCTGGTGGATTTGAACCTCCAACCTTCTGGTTAGCAGTCAAATGTCTTAGGCACTGCGCCACCATAGAGCCTTTTGAATATAATAGAGGCAAATAGGTAGGCTCCATCTTAACCATCAGAATGCCTTGCCTACATCCCTCTTGGCTGCCCTAAAATATTTCTTAGTGGGCAGAGACACTCTGACCTAATGATTAATAAGACTAAATTAAATCTCTGGTATTTAAAGATTGTCTTGTTACAGTAAAGCTATAACATAATTTTAAGTATCGCACTTTCCCTGAGTCATTCTAGTGAATCATCACACTCGAAAGAGCAGTAGGAGCCACAGGTCCGAAAGGAAAGGAGCCCAGGGGGACCTCTCAAGCTTGCGGCGGGCATCCTGAAGGGCTAGTTGAAAAACCCGGAATCTAAAGGCAGCAGGTCAGAAGTGAGGGTGTCGTATGGATTCCCAGATTTGCGGCTGGCATCTGCCTACGTGGCAGTCTTTTAACTTGTGAGGTCTGAGCTGGCTCTGAGTGGCTATGGTCAGAGAATGAAGTGTTGTTGTGTGAGCAGCTGGTATCAGAACTGAACAGAGAAAAGTGGAAGTGGAGATGTGTCACGTCCCATCACTGAGGACAGACTTACCAGTAAGAGTTCTGTGACGGCCCTACTTTAGGCAGGTACGTTAACACCACGGAACACTGCTTGGCAATAAGAAGGGAGGAACTAGTGACACAAACCATGATTTGGGTGAATCTGAAAAGAATTATGCTGAATGAAAGAAACCACCGTTGAAAGGTTACATGCTACATGGTTCTGGCTGATGGAGCATCTCAAACAGGCAAAACCACGGTGACTGAGAACAGATCTGTGGTTGCCAGGCATTAGGTGTGTGGGGTAGGGGTGACGCCAAGGGGGCAGGGGGTCGTTTCTGGGGTCAGGAAGTGTCTGTCTCACAATTCTGGCGGTGGTTACATGAATGTAGCACCAAAACGAGGTCAACTTCATGGTATGTTAATTTAAAAAGTAAAATTAAAAAAACCCAGATTGTGTAAATGTCTGCTCGTCAGACAAATGACCAAACAATGTAATGTAGACCCACATGGAATGCTACCTTGCCATGGAAACATGAAACATGAAGCCACCAAGCACGGGGCCGAGACCCAGACACGGAAGGTATGATCCTACCACCACCCCAGAGTCGATTCCAGACGAGGACAAACTACAGGGAGAGGAGGCAGCTCAGTGGGTGCCAGGGTCAGGGGCCCAGGGGAGGGGACGGATGATGACAAAGGAGTCAAGGGAACTCTGGGGCCAATGGGACCATGGCATGATTGCCGTCACGGTATCTGCAAAAACTCATCAAGCTGTATACTTCAAAAGGGCACACGCGACTGTGCTTACATTACACTCCCAGAAAGTTGACTTAACGAATGGCACGTGGCTTATACTGAGCATGACACAGGGAGGCTGGGGGTGTGAGGGGGCAGGGCTGGAGCACTGTGGGGAGAGGGCACGGGGTGAGCTCCCCACTTCCTATTTCTGAGGTGGCCAATGATGTTCTTTAAGCAATAAAGACATTTACAGGCAACCTGGGTTTTCTTCATTTTTTAACATTCTTTAAACTGAAAAAGAAAACAAAAAAATCTTCCCCAATTAAAAGTTTTTGTCTCAGACTCAATTTTTTTTTTTTTTTTAGAAAAATGTTCTCTCTAAATCAAAATGAACTAAAAAAAAAAAAAAAAGACAAACCAGGAAGGCAGAGCACACAGGCAGTGGACGGGGTCTCCTCACCTGCACCCCCCCACACTCATCTGGGCCCAGACACTCATTCCTCAGGCTCAGGAGGCCTACTGCTGTGCCTTGTACTCGGACAAATAAGGAACACAGCTCTGCTCAATGGGACTGAACCCAGTGTTGATCAGTATGGTGACCTGGTCACACCGGAATGCAACGATGTGTTACATTAATTGAAAGGCAGCATCATCGTCACCATGTTTGCCTTTACAACGCCATGCATCCAGGAAAGACAATGCCAGCCCTCAAAACACAACACCAGGCTCTGATTTTATGAGCTGGGTGAGGCTGCAAGGCCCACAGTGGAAAGTGTGGCCAACGTCAGGAGACCTGGGGCCGGTCCCACTCCATCATCCACAAGGGGCCGTGCTGTTGGGCAAGGGGCTGCCTCCTCTGAGCATCAGGGCCTCTCTGTGAGGATGGATGACAGTCGCCACTGCGATGTGAAGCCAGCCTACAAAGTGCCAGCAAGCCTGAGGCAGAAGGCAGGCCTCTCAGCCCTGGGCAGCCATGACTGCTTAGGTGCATGGCCACACAAAGAGTTTGTGGAGTCACCGCTGAACTCACTCGTATGGAGAACCAAGACGCAATGGTCCAAGCCCAGTAGTCAGGGAAACCTGTGCAGCTCAGATACTTAAATATCTTAAAGGCAAAATGACCAGCTCATCAAGTTACCGAGTAAGAGCAGGACTGTTAATCGTCAGTCTGACAGAGCTCAAGGCTGTCACTCCAAGGCCAACCACAGAGGCCACCATGCTCACAACCCTGCCATGCTTCAGCTCACTGGCAGCCACTGTGCCCATCTCGCTGAGGCTCCTCCCCGTTTTCACTGACTCTCTACTTTACCAAGCACCATGTCCCTCTCCAGGGACTCAAAAAAACCAAACTCACTGCCATCGAGTTGATTCCGACCCATAGCAACCCTCTTGGGTTTCCATGGAAGTAAATCCTTGCGAAAGTAGATTGCCCAATCTCCATTTATCATGATGTTGCTTATTGGTCCAGTTATGAGGATTTTTGTTTTGTTCATGTTGAGATGCATTCCATACTGAAGGCTGAAGGTCTCAGATCCTCATCAGTAAGCGCTTCAAGTCTTCTTCACTTCCAGCAAGCAAGGCTGTCATCTGCCTACCACAGCTTGTTAATGGGTCCTCCCCCAATCCTGATCCATGCCACGTTCTTCCTATAGTGCAGCTTCTCAGACTACGTGCGCCGCATGCAGACTGAGGAAGTACCATGAAAGGATCCAACCCTGCTGCCACTTCTCCCAACACTTGTCCATCAGTGTGTCACACTGTGGTGGCTGGCACGCTGCCGTGATGCTGGAGCTATGCCACGGGTACTGGACACCCACGGTGGCCAGGGTTCAGCACTGCTTCCAGACTCTAGACAGATTAGGAAGAAGGAAGAGTGGTTCGCTCCTGGAAACCTAGTCAACAGCAGTATTTATTCCGCACCTACTATGTGCCAGTGGAGTCCCTGGTGGCACAGTGGTTAAGCACTCAGTAGCTAACTGAAAGGTGGGCAGTATGAACCCACCAGCTGCTCCACAGGAGAAAGGTGTGGCAGTCTGCTTCCATAAAGATTTATAGCCTTGGAAATCCTATAAGGTGTCCCTACTCTGTCTTTGACTTGGAGCACTTACTGAAGAAGATTAAAGACTATAGTCTTCAGTGTGGGTTACACCTCAACATAAAGAAAACAAAAATCCTCACAAGGACCAATAGGCGACATCATGATAAATAGAGGAAAAAATGAAGTTGTCAGGAATTTCATTTTACTTGGATCCACAATCAACCACCGAAGCAGCAAGAAATCAGATGTCAATACTGCACTGGGTGAATCTACTGCAGAAGATCTCTTTAAAGTGTTAAGAAAAGTGTTAAGAAACAAAGAGGTCACTCTGAAGACTAAGGTGCACCTAACCCAAGCCATGGTATTTTCAACTGCCTCACATGCATGTGAGAGCTGGACAATGAATAAGGAAGATGGAAGAAGAGTTGATGCCTTTGAACTACGGTGTCAGTGAAGATACTGAAAACATGATGGACTGCCAGAAGAGTGAACACACCAGTCCAAGAAGAAGTGCAGCCAGAATGCTCCTTGGAAGGGAGAATGGCTGGACTTCGTCTCACCCACTTTGATCATGTTGTCGGAAAGGACCATTCTCTGGAGAAGGCTGTCATGCTTGGTAAAGTGCTAGTGAAAAAGGGGAAGGCCCTCAACAAGACAGATTGACATAGTGGCTGCAACGATGCGTTCAAGTACAGCAAAGACTGTGAGGATGGCGCACGCCCGCGCAGGGTCTCATTCTGTTGGACGCAAGGTTGCTATGAGCTGGAACCGACTGGATGGCGCCTGACCAGTCAGAATCGACTCGATGGCAGTGAGGTTTTTATGTTTTGTTTATGTGCTGGGGAGGAGTCCCTGGGTGTGGGGAACGGTTAAGCGTTCAGCTACTAACTGAAGGTTGAAGGTTGGTGGCTCTAATTTTCCCAGAGGCACCTTGGAAGAAAGGCCTAGAGATAGGATTCTGTCAAGGTCACAGCCATTACTCTGACACACACGGGGTCACCATGAGTTGGAACTGACTATGCCAGCACCTGGTTGGTCTTGTTTTTAGGATGCCAGGAACTGCTGAGGGCCTCATCTACACACAGAGCTGTGAGCGTTATGAGACCTAGTCAGCAGTCCAGAGCAGATCTCTGTGGTCCTCCAAATCAACTCTGCACGGGCACTTACTGGGCACTGGCTATATAACCAACATGGAGGGGGAGTGAGTCAGTCAGTCCTGGGCCTCCCCTTGTGGGATCCAGGAGGTATGTCCTATCCAACCCATCTCTCTCCCAGGAGCTGGAGGGCACAGCACCCTACGTTGCACTGACATGAGTCCATTTATTTATCTGAACCGGACACCACTGCCAGTTCTCAGATTGCTACAGTGTGGTCTCACAGGGTGACCGATTCTAGCAGGACTCTGTGAGGAGGCCCAGCAGGGCGCCCAGCAGGGCACCCAGCTCTTCTCTCTCCCTTACTTCAGTATGGATTCCCTGTGCAAACTACCTTCCTGCAGAGTCTTGGAACAATAACTAACCTGAAATTCATTTTTTTTTTTTTTTTAAGTAATCATAAAACCACCTGCTGCTTCACAGTGGCAGTTACAAGAACAGACCACACTGAGTGTCTAAGCATGTTTTGGGTTCTCTGATAGGACTTTTAGGAAGAACAGATACCTGGTCAAACAGATAGACAGTGACGTCGTCAAAGAACGTCACTGCCTTCTTCTCCTTCCTCCAGGTGCCGGGCGGCTGGTCCAGGGCGGCAGGCGCCGACGGCCTCAGCAAGCTCTGCAGGTGCCTGCCGTCCTCGCTGCTGAGGATCACAGGCACGGGGCGCTCCGCGTCGTCCTCCGACTCGGAGCTGAGGCTGTGCAGGCTGAAGGCCCGCAGGTCGTCGTCGGAGTCCTCGCTGTCCTCGCCCTCCTCGTCTGCATCGATGCCGTCCTCGGGGAGGTCGAGCACTCCTGACACACTGAGCTTCCCCAGGTACTTCCCTTCGATATCCGGCTCCTTCAGCTTGGGGCCCTCGCAGTGGCTGGACAAGCACCTGTCTGCCATCAAGTCTGCTGGGCCGCCAGAGAGAAGGGTGGCACTTGTGTACGTGAGGAGTTCGTTTGTGTTGGTTCCGGTGGACGTGAGGGTGCAGGCATGGTCTTCCAGCGTCTCCCAGTCACCACTGCTGCCAAGTGCTGACTTCAACAAACTCAAGGGGCTGCCAGGCTCATCTTCGGGAGGTGGTGTCTGACCGGAGAGATGAGTCTGCACGGGCTCCGACAGGTCCCTCAGTCCTGGGGGACTGGAACTCCGCAGAGCTGGCAGACAGCTTGGGTCGGGCAGGCTGTTTCTGGTCTCCAGGCAATGATCCTCGGCACCAACACTTTGCTCCAGGGGGAGGAGCTCAGGAAGGGACACCGAGGCCGACAGTGACGCTCCGGGGCCCTCCTCAGGCTTCTTCTCAGGCTCTGAGTCATTGTCTGAGAAGTAGGCCGAGTCTCGGTATGAGCTCTGAGAGCCAGGCGTGGTTGTCTGCACAGTCACCTCTGTTTCTCGGTGGCTGTCAGCGGCATCAGAGATGACAATGACAGGGTTGGGAGGCAGACCTCTGTGAGTGTCGCTGCCCACTGTGGTGAGGTCTGTGTCTGAGGTGCTGTCAGGAGCAGGGTGCAGCGTCCACTCGGGAGACTCTAGGTTCTCAGTCTCATAGCCGCTGTCAGCAGGCTTATCAGGGGGCAGCAGGTTCTGAGGTGTGTGAGGGCCCAGAGAGTCTAAAACCTCATGTACGTCCACAGAGTCTAAGGAGTCTGGGGTTTCCACAGACTGCTCTGATGTCGGTATGGGTGTGGATAAACTGTCCTCTAAAAGGCTGTCCTGGCTGGTTGAGTCTGAGGACAGGGCAGACACCAAGCCTACTTCCTTCTGAGCATCTTTGTAATTCAGCTGATTTAACGTCTCCACAGCTTCCAAGTTTGTCTCTAGCAAACTACTGCTGTGGTAGTCTTCTGTAAGTGGCTGGTTTTCTGAGTTCTGCCTCAATCCCGGGACACTGTTCCCTAGGCCCACCCTCCTTGCAAAGACTTCATCAAGGCCAACCGGGTCGCTCTGGCTCAGTCTCCAGGTCTCCTCACTTTGGTGAGTTAAGTCCTGTGGCCCCTCGCCAATGCTCTGTGTCTTGGCATCGGTCGAGAGAATTTCAACAGGGACAGTCACAGGGTCTGGGTTTTCTTGGCAGAGACAATCTTCACAGGCACCAACATCGAAGCACGTGGAACTAGTTTCTCCCTGCCTTGGCAACACATCTGGAGGTACTCTGTCGGGCGTCTCTTCCGTTTGGAGTGAGGTAGGAGGTACCTGCACTTCAGGAGAAGATGGCAATGAGATGCTCAAGCTGTCGCCTGTCAGCCCGACCCCCAGATCACCACCCTTGGCCCTGATATTCTCCTGTGACAGAGAGAAGCCTGGCTGGGTTTCAGTAAACTTAAGCTCAGTATCTAAAGAGTTTCTGCGTGAAGTTTCTAACAGGGTTTCGGGAAAGCCAGCATTTTTAAGCTCCGTTTGAAGATCATTTACATGTTCTTTGCTAGGCAATGAGACTTGTAATAAGTTCTTCTCCTGAAGAAATAGGAAGTTTTCCGACAATTCTTGAAGACTGAGTGGATCATGATTATCTTGGTGCATAAGGTTTTTTTCTGACAAGCAGAGAGGATCACAGTCAAAAAGTTTACAGGGACTTTCTTTCTCAAAATGGCCAGGAATTACAGACTCCCTGGGCTCACCCAAGCTTGCACTTGGTGTGGCTGGCTTAGTATTGGCCTGCACGCTGTCCAGCTCCATTAAGTCAAACATTTTCTGGTGAGTGGGCAGGTCCTCTGATTTGTCAAGATCATTAAATATATTGTTGAAAGGGCTCTCGGGGCCGCTGGTGACATGCAGGTCCTCGGGAATGCTCGAGTCCTTGGGGTCTGTACTGGTCTGAAAGAAATCCTCCTCTGCGCTCGACTCCTCAAACTCCAGATTCCTGAGGGCCACAGACTGGGGTGCCTCGTCACCCAGCCTCTCGGGGTGAGCCACATCAGTTGTCAGCAGTGCCATCGGGTAGTCGAGCTCCAAGTTGCTGCCACTCTTTTCTTCTAACTGGATGTAGTAGTCACTGCCCACAGAAAGGTTGTGGGCGTCAAACACAGGGACCACTCCTGGGGCCCTGAGTGGCACGTCCTGGCCACTTTCGTCCTGCTTGCCCGGCCCGGGGTCGGAGAGCGAGCTCTCAAACACCTCCACAGGAAAGAAGATGCTGGTGTAGGACAAGGCTTCGTCCGGGTTGGCCCGACTGCGCTCATCAAAATGGTCATGTTTCGCTGCCTCCCAGACATACTCGAAGCTCAGTCCCTGGCTCGTCTCGGTCACTGTGAGGACTTCTTCCATCTCACGACCAAGCCGGTCCCTGCTGAAATGGTCGAGAATCGGGAACGCAGCATTACTGGATGTGTCCCGGCTACTTGTATTTGGTTTAAGTGCATTCCACTGCTGTTCAAAGTCAACCTCTGACTCCCTCTGACTCTGCATCCGTAGGTAAGTCAGCAGTCGGTGGACATCTTCAGCTGCCGGTCTCTTATCTGGTGACAGCCAACAGAACTGCAGAACTTCATACCTGGGCAACACAGGAGGGGAGTAAATAATGGACTTAGGATAAATTGTTTTAAAATAAGCAAAGTCTTTACAACGACCCCTAAGCTAACTCGGCACCTCAAAGGCTTCTAGCCCTTCATCACTGCCAGCCACATCAAAGAGACCAGTTCACTGTGGTATAATTGTGAAAGAGGAAACGAAGAAATGTAAAAATCTGACCCACTAACTTTTCATGTTTTCAAGACGTTTCACTGTAATTCTTTTGCCCATCATTTGTTCTTCTGGCATTTTCCACTCATCCATCGCATTTAGGAAATTTTAACATGTTCTCCTCTTGGAGCAACTGCCCTAGGTCTTCTGTTTCATGAAGCATGCACTTATCTTATGGTTTTAGATTTATTCGCACTTCATCTCAAGAGAATTCCCACACACAAATGCTATTGTAATGAGTCTCTTAACTATTCCCACTACCAGTAATACCATAATCTTCACAGTACATGGTTTACTGTGATCATAAAAGGAGCTAAGGGGGGATGAAAGAGTAGAGAAGGAAGTCCAAAGAAGGAAGACAGAGAGGGCCTGGTCTCCCAAAGGTTGGCGGACTATGGCCAACATCTTAAACTGTAGCCAAAAGTAGAAGGGAAGACAAAAATGACTTCAAAATACTAAATTTATAGAGTGTGTGCTGAGTTATTCTGGGAGGAAAAGCTGAGCAGTGTCTAAATGCAGGGGGCACCAAGCTTCGGAGGCAATGCCACTGGGCACATGGTGGCGTGGACAGTGGTCTAGAGAGGGAAACCTGACTCAAGTCAGAAACAAAGCCAGAATCGGTCCTAAGACTCACAGAGAAAAGCAAACGGTGTTGCAAATGTTAACACAGATCATGGAAATTAGTTCTAATGCTCAATTTAAAAATTATGATTTGTATAGTATCTATACACATTGTCTTGCATATCATCACACAGCCTAATTAGAAAAAAACATCCACCACAGAAAATTCCCTTTTCAAATCAGTTCTGACATAAAATTGTTTTCTTTCTGCATGAAATATGCAATTTTTGATTATGAACATTTTTTCAAAAACAGTGTTAAATTTAAAAACCACGTCAATTATAAAATCAGTCATGAAATAAAGACACAAACGCGACTGCTTTTCATAACATTATTTAAAAACAGGGGGCCTATAACCCTATAGAGAAACGGCTCTTATCTTTTGAAAGACAACAGCACGAGACAGGCAGCCACCCACCATCGATCAGAATACGGCTGCTCCAGCTGGGGCTTTGGGAGCTTTGTCTCTCGTTCTCTGATGACCCGACTGAGGACATCCGCGTCGGAAAGGTGGGCGTAGGGCTGAGCAGCGTTATCGAAAAGCTCCCAGAGCGTCACGCCCAGGGACCTGTGGGAAAAAGGGGAGGTGCTTCATTCTTCCTTTACAGGACAAACTTTTTATACCTGTACGTTTTGTCTGTAAGGTCATTAGTCATTTAAGGAACAAAGTGTGTACTGAGAACATTATTAACACTAAGATAAGTTCTTTAATGTGATAAAACACCAATCATCAACATCATAATCATAATCAACAGTGGCCAAAACCAGACTGCCCCCCCTCCCCACTTACTCCTGAGTACTACTCTAGACATCGTGGCCACTGTCCAGACTTGAGAGAGAAAAAGGGTAAGACAACACGACCCTCCACCTTGAAACTCAGGAGATCATCAGAATGACCCGAGTGATCTGAGTTCAGCACAATGGCTGGATACAAGATAAAGAATCCTGAATTCTGAGGGTTCTGGTGGGGGACAGTTCCATTCCCACCAGTAGGAAGCAGGTTTCAGGAAAACCTGAAAGAAATCCTTCTGTGAGCAAGTGTGGTCTTTCCCTGTTAGGTGCACATACTTGCTGTTACCTACCCCTAAGTCTTCTGGGGTTTGCTGCTAGTGTGAAAGACGTTCCCCCATTACTGAAGCTGGCTGGCTGTATGCTGGAAGAGGCCACCTGGCTGACCTCGAGATGCCTGGTGCTGACACAGCTCACGCCTACGCCCCAGTGTGCAGTCCCCAAGCCTACGTCACACCCACGCCCCGGTACACAGTCCCCAGAGGACAATGTCCTCTCCTGCTCAAGCAAGAACAACTACTGTGTGTGTCATTCCTCAACAGGGTATCTCCTACTTGTGTCTCTCCCTGTCACTCACCCCCTTCTGGCGTGTACCACGCTTCGGTGTGTACTACTGCCTCCCATTTACTGCAATGGTTCTCATCCTGACTGCTCCACGTGTCATCTAAGAAGCTTTAAACAAACACACACATTGGTACTCAGGACCCACTCCGGGTGTGGCCTGAAACACCAGATATTTACAAAGCTCCCTGGGTGATGCAGACGCCCAGACAGGTCTGGGTATTGATGGATCATGTGACTTTGACTGATACCCAACAGAATCTTATTTGAGCAAAAAACAGTTTTGTATAAATAAGAGTTTATAATTAGAAACTGTGTAATACAACTTGTGGGTCAGATCCTCTTACACAACTTCCACAAATTAGTAAGGAAAAAAAAATCAGCATATTCAATATGTAAGCTAAGAGATCTATCCAACAATCCATCTATCTATCAAAGAAACAAAAGGACTCAACTTCCCACAGCCCAGTTCAGGAAGTAAGCAGTGCCTTCTCCCTGGCACAGAAGAGTCAGGGGCAGAGGACCATTCTGGGTACAGAAGAAGCCTAAGACACTGCCAGCAACCATGGGGTAGTTCACAACTGAAGTGAAAAAAATAAAAATGCACCTGAGCTACTGAAGTCCACGGAGGGGCTGTCAGTGGACATACCGCGTTCTCGCCACGGAACTCGGCTCCTTGGGCAAGTAACTCGGCTTGTGGCAATTCTATGCATCCACAATTTAGCTCCCTTCCCCTCTGAGAAGGCCCATTCCAAAACAAAACCCCCTCCAGCCCCACTCTTCAGAGAAAACCAAGCAAGGCTTTCCCCACTCCCTACTCTTACCACCTTCTATCATCTTTCTTGGGGTCCCTCAGAAAGGCCTCCAAGAAAGAGACCTGGCTCCTGTCAAGGGGACTCGGCCCCCGAGCTCTAGTCCATCCTGTGCAGTCTCTTCTGAGATAATTCCCATCAACCTCCTTTGACAGCAGTGCAGTTAACCTTTCTCTCCCCACTGGCTCTTGTCTTCTTGGGTACCAACAAGCCTCTTTCTTCTGGAAGGAAAATGTCCAGTAGCTCTTATTGACTCTTTACTACCTAAGCCTCTGAGCAACGTCCCTAATGCACTTCCCCTCCTCTCGATCGCCCTGTGGCATGGTGCATGGGACTTTTGCCTCCAACCTGCCATGTTGCTGCTGTTGTTAGGTGCCGTCAAGTGGGCTCTGGCTCATAGCAACCCCACGTATGACAGAACGAAACACTGCCCGTTCCTGCGCCAGCCTCACCATCCTCGCTATACCTGAGCCCATCACTGCAGCCATCGTGTCAGTCTGTCTCATTGAGGGCCTTCCCCTTCCCACCACTCATCTGTCAGTGTGTCACACTGTGCTGGCCTGCATGTTGCTGTGAAGCTGGAGGCTATGCCACTAGTATTTCAAATACCAGCAGGGTCACCCGTGGGGGACAGGTTTCACCAGAGCTTCCATATTAAGCGGGCTCTGAAGAAGGAAGGGGCCATCCATTTCTCAAAGAACTGACAGTGAAAACCTTATGAACAGCAGTGAAACACTGTCTGATATATTACTGGAAAACTTTATGAATAGCCCTGACCTGCCATTAATGACTTCAAAAACAATGACATAATTCTGTGTCTGAAAATACAGGCCAAGTGTTCATGTTAGCACCCCTGCTAAGAACAATAAAAATGCTGGATTAATCATAAAAGCATCTTCTTAAAGCTATCTAAGAGCTGGTAAGACAGTAGGGAATCACCAGGACAAAACCAAGGCCTGACAGAATCAAGTACAACACTAAAACCACCTTTGTCCCAGGGCATTTGCTAACTCACAGACGGTTCTGTGTCCCTGATCTCTAGGGCCTACTGGGCCTAATGGTCGTGGTGGTGGCAGACAAGCCAAAGCCTTGGGCCTGGCCGAGGTGAGGGGTTCTCACAGAGAGACCTCTCATGGGAAGTCAACTTGCCCCCAACCCCTCTTAGGCACCTGAAAGGCAAGACGCCTTGGTGGGGTATGTGTGTTGTACCTACACAACTGGCCCTTACCAAGACTCGCAGCCCAAATGACATCAGCTGCGCAGTTCACAAGCTCTTCAGCTGGACGTGTCAAGTCCAGAAGTGGGCCCTGTGCATGTGGTTCCCTGGTGCCTGGCAGAAGCAAATGTGATCCTCTCTGAAGCAATGCACCTTGCTTGATTCTGCATTTCTAAGAATCCGCCCCACAAAAGTCCCCAGGGAAACAAGGCCCCATCAAGAACCAGCAGGAACAAATCCACAAAGACTTCAGATGTTGGAATTCTCTGACACAGATCGTACCCCAATTGCTAAAAACACTCTGATGAATTAAAAAAAAAAAATCAAATAGACCTTCTGAAATAGAAAAATCAGTAACTGAACTATAAACTCAACAGAGAGGTTTAGAGAAGATTAGACAAAGCTGAAGAGAGATTAGTAGCTGGAACACAGGTCTGAAAAATTATCCATAATGTGGCACAGAGAGTCAAACAACTATTTATATTAACTAGGGAAATATAAAAGAGAATTAGGAGACAGAAGACAGGGTGAGAGGGCACAACACCGATGAAATTAGACTCTTCCAAAAGGAGAGGGAATGAGGCAGGAGCAAGGACAAGGGCCGGGAATTTTCTGGAAATGATGAGTAACACCAATCTACAGATCTGAAGAGCCACATAAATTCTAAGTAGAAAATCATAAAAAATCCATACCCATACACATCATAGTAAAAGTACAGTAAATCAAAGACAAAGAGAAGATTTTAAAAGCAGCCAGAGAGAAACAGTCACATTACCTTCAAAGAGCTTAGGCAGACTTACAGCTGACTTCTCAATAGCAACAATGGAAGCCAGAAGACAGTAGAATGATATCTTCAATAAGCTGAGAGAAAATAACTGTCATCAAGTAAAAATACATTTCAAGAACGAGGACAAAATAAATGTACGTTCAGACCTACAAAGAACTGGGAGTCTGTTACCAGCAGACTAAAGGAAATTCTGAAGGCATGCTTCACGCAAAAGGAGAATGATCCCAGATGGCAGGCCTGAGGTTAAAAAAAGGAGGAGGAAGAGTAAAGTGGTGTGTGAGTAAATCTAAACAAATACCGATACTTAAAAAACAGTAATAATGCTACCGGGTTAAACGAAAAGATTAAGACACCAAACACTAACATAAAAGTTGAGTGTGCGTGTGTGTGCACGCACGTGCACGTGTGTGTAGTTACAGGGTTAAACAGAGTTAAAGTATTCTGAGGTCTTCGTATTATTGAGACAGAGGATCAAGATACAGATTAACGTTAGACCAAGGGAAGTGAAGGATGCATGTTATAATTTCCAGGGCAACTAATAACAGTACAGAAATAGGGTATACAACTTCCAAACTAAGAAAGAAACAGAGCTAAAAAAAAAAAAAAAAAATTTAAAAGAAGACAGAGAAAAACAGAAAGAGCAGGACAACAGCACAAAACAAAATGTAGCTACAAATTAAGAAAGCTGTAATAGCAATTGTTAGAGATTGAGACGCATCTTCTCAACTAGCGTTATGTTGACTTCTTAAAAATGACAACATCATACGAGAGTCCAAATTCCCTTACACTTTTCATTCACCTCAACAAACAGTATTAAACATCTCCTATATATTAGGACTAGTGCTGGGCACAGAAGACAAAAAACACCTGGTTCCTGCTTTACTATGGAATGAGCAAGAAAGGCAGTATTCCAAGTGACTTCTAGAATGGCCAAGAGCATGGTATCAGCAGCAATAATGTGTTTTTCCACCACTGGGCACTCTCTTGTTGCTACATCTTATACGATTACTTTCCATGATGTAAGTCCTCAAGGAGAAAGAGGTTAGGACTTTGCTAAAGAAAAGTCTAGTAACATGGTAAACACACACATACCAGATGTTGCTATACTTAGTGTGATCGGCCGTTAGTAATCTGTCCTGGAAGCTGGTTACTAACTCTGGAGCAGTCCACCGCAGAGGGAAAACTTTTTTATCATCAGTTTCAACATAGTCCTCCTGTTTATTGAAAAGCATACAGAATTTTGAGAACTATACTTTCAGTGAACTCAGTGACTATATTCCAGGTTATTCTCAGAATACACATACCCAACCCAAAAACCACATCAGGAAATTAAAAAAAAAAAAAACGTGGGCATGAAGAGAGACTTTCTGAGCAAAACGTAGGTGAGGAGTTTCTCTGAAGCCCCCTGGGCTCCATCCAGCAGCTGGCCTCTGAACTCAAGTCCCCTTCCTGGAAGGGCAAGGTACGCTGTGTCTAATGCACAGAACACAGACTGAGCAACAGGTCTTTTCACAAACGCTGGCCCAGATGCACTGGACAGGGAAGTGGGGGTGCCGTGTAAGGAAGGAGGGCACAGCATGTGGAACTGGACAGACTGGGGCTGTCGGTGCTCACTCCACCATGCAGCAGTGATGTGACTCCAGGCAAGGGACAAACACGCCAAGCCTTGTCCCTTATCTGTGTGGTGAGGATTACAGTCTGCTCTACCTTTGTGATGGGGATTACATGAGCTAATGGAGGCAAGGACTTCACAGGGCTTGGCACACAGCAAGTGCTCAGGACACCAGAGCTACTGTGCAGGCAGAGAACTAGCTCATCCCTGCACTCTGAAAAGAGGACCGCCCCTCGGGTCCCGGGACAGCTGTGCAAGAGAACACATTGCCTCATGTCGCTGCTTAGAAAATGGAGCCCAACGTGGAGCCAGGACCAGAGCGTTCCTTCAGCTGAGTCACACACAAATGCACATGGGTGTGCGTGCACGCACATCACAATGTCACAGATTGTTTAATTTTCTTTCGGGGAGGATGATATACTTATGACAGGGTTGAAAAACTCAAACCCCAAGCTTAGTGAGTTTGAGTCAAAATTTTACTGAACACCTAACAGAGAAATACTTGTATGGTGTGTATTTTGCCACACAGGCAATAATTATGTGTTCATACTAAAGCGTACTGTGCACCTTCAGAGTCTATCAATTACACCGTGCCCAAGTCTGTTCAGAGGAAGTGTTTAGAAAGCTGTCACAAACCCCAGGCACACAGACACTGACTCAACAAACCACACAGCAGAAACCAGTAGTGCCATCAGAACGAGGGGACCAAGCCCCTCTCCTTTGCACATTATGTCACACCCGGGGAGTGAAGTCACATGGAGGGCCCCACAGACAGCTTCTGCCTTACCTTGTACCTGCTGAATCCGATGCCATAATCTCCCACCTTTACATTTAAGTCGGAGGTAAGAAAGCAATTCCGCAGGGCTAAGTCACTGGAGACAGAGGGTGGAATGGACACAAGAACAGGCGGTCAACAACCAGGGTAACGGTAAGGCTTTCTCTAGTCATCAGCACTAACGATTGGTGCACCAGGAGAAAGGCTTTCTCTAGTCATCAGCACTAATCATTACGGTTTTACAATTCTTTTTCGTACACAAAACACTACATATCATACTCTAATTAGTTCTAATTAGGAGCTCTGGTAGCATAGTGGCTAAAGCACTTGACTGCTAACCAGAAGGCTGGCGGTTCAAACCCACAAGCCACTCCTTCAGAAGGAAGGTTGGGCAATCCTACTTCCATAGTGACACTGCCTCGGAAACCCAAGGAGGGGTCGCTATGAGTCGGGTCTGACTCGACGGCACATAACAACAACAACAACAACAACAATTAGTTCAATAACGGAGACTGTCTGGAAATCTGTTTACGATAACTTGTATTACTTGAGTTGTAGTCCAGTCGTAGTCTGTCCATGACAAGACTAATAAATTACAAACAGGAGGCACCCAAAACTCACCGACATCATTAAAAACGTTTGTTCTCTTTTCCCCCCTCTTTTTTCCAAGCATCATAATCGAGCCCTTTGCACTTTCTTCTCACCTCTTCCCAGCCCCACCTTTCCACGTGGGAGGGAAGAGGACTGTTTTCAAGAGTGACTGCAAACAATTTACTCATATAATTTATTTTGAGAATAATTTTCAAAAATATAATTTGACAAATAAACAGCTGCTTTTTTTAAAGGAACTTCCAATGTGATAACAGATGAAATTTTTTGGATTTTGGCTTTCATTCTTACAATCTCTTCAATCATCAATAAAAAAAAGCCACTAAATTAAAACGGAAAATAATTTATAGCTTTAAACCATAAATAAAAGGTATAAAAAATGGAATTTCTCTAGTGCAAAATGTTAAATGCTTGTCTTTATATGACTGTAGACCAAAAACTCAAACTAATTATTAAATTATTCTTCTCCAAAGCAGCCATGTCTGGAATAATGAAGAGAATGGCAGTAACACTGAACACTGATCTAATGCTTACAATGAGGCCTATCTACACTACAGTCAAGGAGACTCAGGCAGGCAGAGTGTAAGTGGAAGGTTCCTCCAAGTCTCAAAAGCCAGCTCTAACTCACAGTGACCCTACGCACAACAGAATGAAACACTGCCTGGTCTCGCACCGTCTTCCCAAGTCCTTGCTTTGCTTGAGCCCACCTAGTGTAGCCACCGTGTCAATTCGTCTCCTTGAGGGCCTCCCCCTCCTTCACTGACCCTCTACTGGACCATGCATGACACTTGAGCCCATTGCCGCCGCCACCGCGTCAATCCACCCGTTGAGGGCCTTCCCCTCCCTCGTCGACCCTCCACCCTACCAAGCATGACATCCTTCTCCAGGGAATGGTCCCTTCTGACTACATGACCAAAGCAGGTGAGACGATGTCTGGCCATTCTTACTTCCAAAGAACATTCCGGCTGTACTTTTTCCAGGACAGATTTGTCTGTTTTTCTGGCAGTCCATGGTATTTTCAGTATTCTTCGTCAACACCACAACTCAAAACCATCAACTCTTCTCCAGTCTTCCTTACTCATTGTCCAGCTTTCACATGCATATGAGGCAACTGAAAATACCATGGCTTGGGTCAGGCCCAATCTTCAAAGTGACATCTTTGCTTCTCAACACTTTAAAGAGGTCTTTGCAGCAGATATGCCCAGTATAGTGTGATGCCTGATTTCCTGTCTGTTGCTTCCACGGGTGTTGACTGTGGATCCAAGTAAAATGAAATCCCTGACAACTCAATCTCTTCTCATGATGTTGCTTACTAATCCAGTTGTGAGGATTTTGGAATTCTTTATGTTCAGGTGTAATCCATACTGAATCCATGCAGTCTTTGACTTTCATCAGTAAGTACTTCAGGTCATCTTTACTTTCAGCAAACAAGGCTGTGTTATCTGCGTATTGCAGGTTGCTAACGGTTCTTCCTCCAATCCTGATGCCACATTCTTCTTCACATAGTCCAGCTTCTTGGATTATTTGCTCAGCACACAGACTGAATAAGCATGGTGAAATGATACAACTGTGACGTACACCCTTCCTGATTTTAAACCATGCCATATCCCCTTGTTCTGTTTGAACAACAGCCTCTTGGTCTATATATGGGTTCCTCATGAGCACAATTAAGTGTTTTGGAATTCCCATTCTTTGCAGTGTTATCCATAATGTGTTATGACCCACACAATCAAATGCTTTTGCATAGTCGATAAAACACAGGTAAACATCCTGCTGGTATCCTTTGCTTTGGGCCAAGATCCATCTGACATCAGCAATGATATCCCTCGCTCCACGTCCTCTTCTGAACCAAGCTTTCATTTCTGGAAATTCCCTATAAATATACTGCTGCAACCATTTCTGAATTACAGCAAGATTTTACTTGAGTGTGATATTAATGATATCGTTTGATAATTTCCACATTCAGATGGATCACTGTTCTTTGGTGAGAACTAGTGAGAACGTTCAAAGTAATGATATTTGGGATGCTTGAATGTTTAACTAGTCCTAATATTTAGGCATCAAGAAAGAAAGGTCCCTAAATATCAGGAGTAAACATTAAAGAATCCTACGTATCAGTACTTTGAACATCCTCATTAGTTTCAATGGTTGAAAGAAGAATTAAACCACTGTCTATACTTCACTGGGCTTCCTGGTCAATGGTGGTTTTCTGGGAGAGACCATTATAACCAAATGGCCAGTTATGTGGAGTAAGAGCTGAGATAACAGTGTCAGTTCCTTAAATTCACCACTGAACGTGAAACCAACGGTGACAGAGCTTACTGCATACCAAGACAAGGTTGGGACAGCGCTGCCAGACAAAATGTCTCCACAGACAGCCTGCTACGTACCAGCAATGGCGCAGTTACCCAACAGCAGGTAATGCTCACTGCAACCTTCACCTATCAGTTCACTTCATCTGTACTACAACCCCATGAGGTGAGCACCGTTACCCTCATTTACAGATCAGTAAACTGAGGCTCAGGGAATTACTGTGACATTGCCAGGAAGGGTCACAGAGATGGCAAGTTACTGGTGAGTCGTTACTTTCTTTTTCTCCCTGTAACTATCAATGACAGATGACAAATTAACGACTGCAGCAAACACTGTACGTGCATGCGGTCTGCCCTTGAGGAACACGTGCTGACCCGCCTCTCGAGTCAGTCATGCTACTCCCTCCCTCTGTATGTTCCCAAGGGCGGCTTCCACAGTACACTGTCCAGGCGCCTTCAGGCCAGAAAAGCTGGGAGAAACCTTGGGACACCCTGACTCTACCATCACAAACAATACAGAAACTTCCAGTCTCAACAGAAGCGGTCCCTGCTGGGAGGGAGGGTGGAGCGACCTGCCACTGGAGGGCAGGAAAGTGAAAACATCCTGAGGCAGGCATGTTTATCCACTGACCAACAGCCCCAGAGGAGGGTGGGTTCTGCCAACAGGGTACTGAGCACCATTAACAAGCATAGCTAGGGTCTCTGTAAGCCTGCCCACCGGCTCCTTGAGAGACCAGGCTGAAAACCTGGGTGGCAGTTCCACAGCAGGCCTGGCAACTGCCACTGAGGCCCATTCAAGTAGCTCCTAGGCCACAGCAGGGCCGGCTTGCTCCTTCCTCCCCCTCCTCTCAGCCCGCTCCTCACAGATGTAGGCCCTTAGACACACCAACGGTTAAAGAGAAAGACGGAAAGTTACATGTGCAAAAGGCCTGTGGCCCTCATATAAAAGACACTCAAGTTCAAGACATCCCACAACATTGTCGGGGCAGTGGGAGGCATCTCATTACCTGAAAACCAGAGATAACAAGTTGGAAAATGGCACCTCAGCCCACTCCCTTCCTCTGCTCCAAATATTTCAGCCACCACTTTTGTTGTTGTGTTGTTGTTATGCGTTGTCCAGTCGGACCCAACTCATAGCGACCCCTCCTTAGGTTTCCGAGGCAGTATCACTAAAGAAGTAGATTGTCCCATCTTCCTTCCGAGGAATGGCTGGTGGGTTTGAACTGCCAGCCTTCTGGTTAGCATCAGCTACCACAGTCCAGTGGAAAAAGCCCTGGGTGAAGCCAGAGGACCTGTAAACGAGTCACTGCTCCACTACTTAGTGACTGGGTGACTCTGGGCATGTCACTTAGCACATCAGCTTCCCGACAGAAAAATACAGTAAGGAACGGGCCTGCTGTGGCTAACTCACAGGGTGTTACAGGGTAAAATGAGAACACGTACGAAATGTTTTAGAAACAGGAACATGTCATACAGATTCAAGGCAATGATATAATTTCAGTTCAAAACTGGTAAAACTAAACACTCTAAAACTCAATGCCATGCAAAGCTAAAGATCAGAATGACACAAAGGCTTAACAACAGTGGGGACTTGACGTCAATGGCCCGTTTGGGTTCGGAAATACAAACACATGCCCAGTAATTCTCCTCTCAAGCTGAAAAACAGGTCCAGTGACAAGGCTGCCAAGTGACACAGGCCTGCCAAGTGACACGGGCCCTGGGAGGCACCCTAGCTGGTCCCGCTCACTGGCAGTGCCCTCTGTCCACACAGCTGCCGGTGGCTCTGTGGGACTCAAGGCCGGTGGATGTTGCTGACGGTTACAAGGAGGTAGGCAGCTGCAGGTCTAGCGAGTCTCAGTCTAGATTCTTACGGAACCCTCTCTGAGTTCCAAACTCCTGCTAGAACTGGAGCGCAGCTATCTTCAAAAAGAAAAGCTGTGTGTGACCGAGGCTGTTTCTGAAACCATCCACACCTGTTCCCACGGGTGCTTGGTTCTATTCTGCAAACATGGGGTCCCAACAAGTGGAAACCATGACAACCAATATTTCTATTAACTACCTGTGCTTCTGCAAGTAACCCAAGCTCCTGACAGAAAGAGCTACCAAAGGGAAGCAAAGTTAGCATTTCACTGCCTATTCCAGGAGCTTGGCAAATATCATCCATGTTTAATCATTA